GGAAGAGTGAATTTCAGGAAATGAGAAAAGCAGGTAGAGATCTTTTTAAGAATCTGTAAATCTGTATATTTTTGAATAAGGAACACAAAAAGTCACATCCAGTGACGTTTCCCTCCCAGCTCTGTGCTTTAGCAGCCAGTGCCGCTCCCGGAAGAAACCACATCTACCTGTGACTGTATATTTGAATGTCTCTGTTGTCCCCATCCTTCACTTTTTCTAGATATTTCTCATGTCTCTTTCATAAACAACATTCATGTCCTCCTGTCGCTCCATCCCAGTACCTAGCTGAGCACTCTGGACAGCCAGCCACCTGGCAAATGTGATGGATCAGCTGACAGCACGTCTGTAATACAAGAGCATTTGATGAGTCAGGGCTTACAGCATCTCTATTTGATTGTGAATTAGATGCATTTTCATTCACTTATGTTCTTGTTCTTCTAAGATAAGCCAAGAAGTGCTGATTGTCACATCGGCCTCACTCATGCCCTTCTTCCTTTCATGAACCATTGCTTCCGTTTTGTATGGCTGCCAGTTCAGGATGGTTTTGGGCTCACTCACACATTTTTTCAGGGGTCGGTTGTGTAAGAAATGTCGATTTTCCAACACTTTTTGGCCTCTTCAGTTGTTTCTTCTTTTGGCTTCTTCAAGGAAAAATCCTTCCCCCTGCCTCATCCCTGCCTCACCCCGGCCTCTGGCCTCACCAGCGCACACTCACATGCACCTCGGGACTCTCTGCCCTTCTCTTCCAGGAACTACTGAAAACGAGAGAAGCAGTGAAAGGGAGAATCTTGCCTTCTTCGGACAGCAGAGTTTTGGTGTTTTTTTCCCCCGCTTTTGCTCAGGGTAGCTTGTAGGTGTGGAGAGCTTTGTAGAGTCTCCTTTCTTCCCTCCTTTTCCCCCCTCAAGTCAATCTCCCCCCCACCCCCAGCCGTTTTGGAGGGTTCACCTGCTTTTCCTCCACTTCCCGTGCACTCTGGGGCCTTGACTGCTCGAGACCAGGGGCCTTGGAGCAATTTCCCTCTGGCTTCCTCTCTCCTCTAGATGCTTAGCCAGCGGTCAGTCAAGCGGCAGCCCCTACAGCCCTCCGGGTGCCAAGGGCCAGTGATTAAGTAGCCAGGTCTTGAGCTGACTCCATCCTGGTTTGTCATAACTCGGCTGCAAGTTATTTTGGTCTCCGTGACTTGTGGCCGCACCATGATTACGGTTTGATATCTATCACCAAAGTGACTAAAAGATGAAAATAGAAGCCACAACAGGAAATAAACAACTGCAAATGAGATATTTTATTCCATATTCCCTGCCAACAAATGATTAAAATCAAACTCATTCACAATAGTTTAGTGAACTCCTAAACTTTTTTTTTTTAAGGATCAGAATAGTTTGAAACGGGGTGCTTGTCGGTCTCATTTGGGCCTGTGTAAAGGAAAGGAACTCCCTTTCTAGGCGCACCAGCCAGCCAGGAGTTCCTCTATGGCCCAGCTTCTTGGAAAGGAAAGGAATAAGAATGTGATGGAGTAGGGCCGGCTTTCTGGAAGGCCTGGGATGTTAACTGATTCGGGGAATGCCAGGGAGCTAATAAACCAGCGCCAGCCATTGTAGCTACTTGCCCAGCATCCCACCCATCGTCTACTTAGGGCAGTAAAATGGAAGAGAACGCCGTGTAGAGAGGGCAAGATAGAGGTGACGCCTGAATTAAAACACCGACAATTACACTATATGGGAACATATCTTTGCAAGTACATGCACGTTCCACCCAGACAAGTTGTGACGTCGGATTCAACTCCTGAAACACCCACTAAACCTACCTGCCCTGTGTGTGCTCTGGCCTCTCATCACTGAGCGTTAGCACCATTGGCCAGATTTCCAAGTCTTCAGATTCTCCATCTAGCTAAGAAGGCTTAATTCGAATTTTGACATGTGCTTTCTCTATTTATGTCCTTCCTGTCACTTTGCAGCCTGACCTAGCCTCTCTTGAAAAGCAAAGATCTAGTGAGGCCCAGAGCAGAGAGAGGGAGTGGGACCCCAAGAGGGCAGGAAACTTGCCCAGAAAGCTTTTTAAACCCTGCCAAGTGCTCTCCTAATGCGAGGATCACCACTAGTGCAAGTTATTTAACCAGTGAGTGGCAGAGCCCTAGCCAGGAATCAGGTTTTCTAACTTTTAGTCTGGTATCCTTTCTAAGTGTTTCTAAGGTTATACATTTTCCAGATACCTCAAAAATCCCATTTCTGTCTCTTTCATCTTTCCCTGACTATGCTGATGGGATCACCTAGATCCAAACCTTCTCCTTCTCCTCCTCCATTTTCTCCTGGGCTTTCTGGGCTGCAGTCTTTGCAAGTTGCTTCTTTAGAAAGGTTCACACACACACAAACACACACACACACACACACACACTCAGTTTCAATGGCCTTTTCAATAAGCAACATTTTTATTTGTAACAAAATTATGATCTTATACAATCAGTTCATGTGGCCTTACAAAGTAATGTTTAGATCCCCAGCTTCTAACACTGTCCTATAACACATTTCTGCACTGCTTGGCATCCGTGTGTCTTCTAGGTCAATGAGCTTCAGGACCCCTTCACCTACAGATGGTCACATAACCAGTGTTCCTGATTTTCTCTTACATTTTTATCTCCAAAGGTGCTCTTGGTGGGTTTGGGGGTAGTGGTCCAAACACTCCTTTAAGTCCTACCCATCTCTATTGATTCTTAAATATTTATTGAGCAACTATTGCAGGTCAGACACTTTTAATTTGCTGGAGGGGAGGGGACCGACCTATAAAGCTAAGATTCATCTGTGCTTTTTCCTTTTCAGACGTATAATTTAGTTAGGGAAATGAAAATAGTACATCTCACCTTTTCTAAAGATTCGTTAAACTCCCCAACGAGTTTCATTGTCCTCCTGATCTCACAATTCTAAATGACTTTTAAAAAACCTATTTCACTGAATAAGATGCGAGGTTAGATCACCATGCCAACCAGTGGCCTCGTCAATACTGATGCCTATATATTTAAATCACTACGTTTCCCAGTACCATCTGCTTTCACGAAGTAAATGTTTCTGGTCCTTTGCCCTACCAATGCTTTACCCATTTCCACGCAGTAATCTGCCAGCGAAAGGGTCTATCCTTCTCCCAAACCTGGGGTCAGCGGATAAACTCTCTGACCCTAAGCACCTTGAAAGCTGCTGGGCCTATGAGGGCGCAGAAACAGGCCCCGCATGCATATGCATGTATCTGCTCCAAAAGGTAACCTTCCCGCGCCGGGAGGTGGGGTGGCTGAGGTCTTCCGGGCTCCAGAGGAAACCTGTCCGCGGCGGGCGGGCGAGCCCCCACCCCCCGACTCCACCTCCCCCGCCTTCTCCCGCCAGGATGCTGCCCCTCGCAGCTCGTCAGCCGGCCAAATGCATTCCAGAGCTGCGCACAAGACACACTTCTCCAGGCAGTCCTAGAAACCCGAGCCCGGAGCGGGAGAGGGCGGGAGGGAGCGCGCGGCCGCCGCTGAGGTCACATTCGCGCCGCCTCCCCGCCCTCGGCGGCCCGGCTGTTCCCTCCAGCGCACACCTCCCAGGGCCTTGGTCCAGTCCGGTGTAAATGTCTTTTAAACGAAGACAGCGCTCTCCTCCCCCTTCCCTCCCGCGCGGCCAAGGGATCCGCCGCCAGGGTCTTTAAAACAAAACGAATGAATGAAGCGCCAGGGCGAGCGCGCGGGACCGCCACAGCGAAGCTCCACGGGCTGGTTCTAAATCGGGCCACCGACCGGCTCGTTCCGCTGCAAAACTCGCCAGCGAAGCCCGCTGGGTGCTCTCGGGGCTTCCCATTTCTCCTCTGATCGGGTCAAGTCTCAGTGGATTCAGAGAGCCCCTTTGCTCCCCACCTTTACTCGCCATCCCCCCCCCCTCTGCAGACCTAGGAGGGGGTGGCGGGGCCGAGGGGGCG